AAAATTCATCACACAAAAGGGCTGGTGGAGTGGCTCAAGGTGTAGGCCCTGAGTTCAAACCTCAGTACTGAAAATAAAATAAAATGCCAGTCAGACACAGGGAAAAGACATACTATGTACAGAGAAATAAAGAGAAGATTGACACTTGATTTATTTTTAGAAGCACCCCAATCAGAAGACAGTAATACAGAGCTTTACAGTATAAACAAAAATATCTATCAGTGTAGAATTCTATATATATTTCAAAAGTGAAGATGAAAAACCTTTGTCAAAGAAACACATGGGTTTTGTTACAGAAGATGTGAAATTTCTATGAGCAGAATTAAAACGACACCCATGTTTTCTGTCCAAGTTCTTTTTTAGAGTCTAAATTAATTTCCATCTTTTCTAGGAATTTTCCTGCTTCTTATCAGACTTGCCCTTTCTGTTTCCTTAACAACCAAGACCTTCTTCTTTCTGTTTGGGCAAAGCACTTCTAAGCCATCTTTGCATCCATGCAAATCAATGTGTTTATCATTTGATTTGTAAGCAACTCATTCACTAAGTTCCTACCTCAGGCTGGCCCTGTGTATACCTCTGATGTCCATATTTGCTTTTAGACTAGGCTTTCCTCCTCTCCACACTCTCTGCAGATGGTTGCCAGGGTGATTTTTCCCCCTAACTTCTCATTTTTATGATATTGAACCTATTGAAAGGCTTCTCAAAGCTTGCAGGAAGGAATGGTTCCACATGAAAATGGTTTCATGTCATCTCCTGTCTGGTCTCGCCACACTTGTCTCATCTTATCTCTTACTGTGTTTACCTTGCATTTGGTTCTCCGTAAAAACAAAATTATTTGTATTTTGTTTTGTATTTTGTTCTGTGAATGGGTCTTATTCTACAGGTGTGGACTCTCAGCTTAGAGCATCATTCACTCAAGTTCTCACCCTAACCAAGTTGTTTCCTTGAAAAGACACTGCTTTGTCTTTTTTTTTATTGAGGTATAAACAACAATTAAAAATGGTTCATGTGTAAAGAGTTCAAGTTGATAATGTGGTATATGTATATACAGTACAATAATCGCCACTATCAAACTCCATAACGTACACTGCTTCGTGTAGTCATCAGCTTCTTTATCTTGAGTGTGATGAGAACTCTTACAATCTATCCTCTTGGAAAATTTTTAGTATACAATACAGTATTGCTACTGTCATCACACTGTCACACATTAGATTTCTAGATATTACTCCTCCATGTTACATTCTTACCAACATCTTCCCATTTCCCACTGACCCCAACCTCTGCCAACTACAATATGATCAAGCAATCCTGTTTCTGACAGACACATAAGCGTGTGTGTAATGTGTGTGTGTGTATGTGTGGTGTGTGTGTGTGTGTGTGTGTGTGTGTGTGTGAGAGAGAGAGAGAGAGAGAGAGAGAGAGAGAGAGAGAGAGAGAGATTTGGTCTGGGGATGGAAGCCAGGGCCTCATGCATGCTAGGTAAGTGCTCCAAGACTAAGCTACACTCCCAGCACATGTCTGGGAAATAAAATCCCTTGCTGGAAAAGGTATATAAACTCCCATGTCTGTTTTTAGCATTTTTCATAATAGCCACAATACGGAAACACCTAAATATCAGTTGGTAGGTGAATGAATAATGAAAATGTGGGATCAATACAATGGAATATTATTTAGTCTTAATGAAGAAAGAAATCCTGACATTTGCAATGATATGGATAAAGCTGGAGGACATTATGTTAAGTGAAATGACTGAGGCACAGACAGACAAATACCACATCATTTCACTAAGATGATGAGACCATTTGTATGTTTTAAGCATCTCCACTTTAGTCGTTCACAAACACAGCCACCCTTCTCAGCCTCGTCATACATGTGGTGGGTGCCCTGTATCTAACGGTATATACGAGCAGTGTTTTCTGCGTAAGTGTTCCACTCCTTGCTCAGCTTCTGTGTCAAGTCTAGCTATTTTAGGCTTTCACATTGGAAACTATATTATCTAGCCTGGTCCAGCATTGAGGTTATGTAGAACCGGGATGCCCTCTACTGTTTTCCAGAATTATAACTACGTTGCTTAATTTCATTCAAAAAGAGAGAAATGAGAATTCAGCAGAAGGACCATTATTTCTCAGGACAAACACTGAATTCCATATCAAACCAAAATTACTGGACTGGCAAAGTGGCTCAATAGTAGAGCAACTGCATAGCAAGAGTGAGGCCCTGAGTTCAAATCCTAGTACCCGCCCCTGCAAAAAAAAAAAAAACAAAAGAAAAGAAAACACACGCACACACAAAAAGAAATAACCAAAACGACTGAAGTGGTAATAAATACTCTTCTCTAAATGTGAGCTTCTGTAAGCTTGCCCCCTCAGGTAGTCAATCAGTCCATCAAACAGAAGACTGTGCTTTATGTTGCAAACACATTAGAAAGAGACTGGGATACCACTTCATCACAAGAGGAAAAGTATTTAAGCAACACGATTAATATAGTTGTAAGGAACAGACTGTACATAAGACAATTTTCATATGTGTGATAAAATGTATTGACATGAAACTCATCATTTACCAAAAGACATGGACATTTTAAACACAACCCATCAGAAGAACACATTCACCCACAGTTGACAAGTCGTTCATTAAAATTTAATATCAAGGCAGTTATTCATGCCTATTAATCCTGGCTACTCAGGAGATGGAGATCAGAAGGACCTCAGTTTGAGGCCAGCTGGGTCATAAAGTAGACGAGACCCCCATCTCATCCAACAGATGGTGTGGTCCCAACTACTGCAGAAAGCATGAATAGGGTCACAGTCCAGACTAACCTAGGCAAAAAATGAGACCCTATCTCCAAAACAACCAGAGCAAAAGAGGTGGAGGCGTGGCTCAAGTGGTAGAGTGCCTGCCAAGCAAGAGTGAAATCATGAGTTCAAACCTCAGTATTGACAAAAAATAAAAAATAATATCCATAACTCTCAATTAGATAAAGGTAATCCCTTATTTATCTATAACTCCTTCCTTCCTTCCTTTTACTCCTTCCCCTCCTCCTCTTCCTCCATCTTCTCCTTTGGTTAAAAAGGTTGAATGACTTTGTGTCACCATCTGTAAAGCTTTACATTCATCAATTATTTGAACCTTTCTATTTGTATTATGTTGTTTAACCCTAAGGGAATAGCAGTTGTCTTTGGCATTTCTAAAAATCTGTAATTGCAAAATCTGATAGGTGAAAAGTGTATTAATAAAATCACATTGCTTTTTTTAAAAAGTCCAGTGCTTTTGACTGTTGTGTTAGTTTTGCATTTCCATGACAAAATACTCGAGATAAACATCTTGTTTTGACTGTTTCAGTGCTTGGTGGATTGGCCCATTGCCTTTGCCCCTGAGGTGAAGCAGTGCAGGATGGCAAACACAGTGTGATGGAGGAAGCTGCTCACTTCACAGCAGCCAGGAAACAGAGAGGAAGAGGAGGGGCTTGGGCCCCCCAATCCCCTTCAAGGGCAGCCCCCCTATAGCCAAAAGATCTATAACCAGGACCCACCTGCTAAAGGGCCAACCATCTCCTAACAGTGTCCCTGGTTAGTGACCGGGCCTATAACATCCGGGCCTTTGGAGGACATTCGCGGTCTAAACTATAGCAACTGTCAAGGAACTTCATCTCAGTGATCTTTTGAGAACCCAGAAAATGAAATGCAGTGTTTAACTTAACCATATTAGGATTTTAAAAGCCCTTTGAATGAACATCTTATATTTAAATTTCATGAAGAATCATTAGAATCTGAGTTATTTAATACTGAGGCTAATTGTATAGTCAGAGTAACAGTTCCTGTATATTTGCACATTTTTACATATTTATGTCCTGTGACTATAATACATTTACAAATGCTCATTTGGGGAAATTTTCAGTATTTGTGGGACGTGCAAAAGTATCAGTTGGTAGCTCAGATTTGGAATACCTGTTTTAGACATAACTGGAAAGCCAGAAAAGGGGCTCATACCTGGAAGATTAAAGATGTTTTCTAGAGGAGTTAGAATTTTGACTTTTTTTCAGAATTGTTCTGTTTAAAGACACTATAAACAATGCAGTTCTACAAAGATCAGAACAGGAGGGAGGACTTTAATTTAAATCTTGAACATCTTTCAAGGGGTGTTTTCTCTAAAAGGCACCCACCTCCTGTGGAAACAATAGGTTGGAACACTGAATTAAGGAATGTACTACTTCAGCATCCGTTTTGTTGGTGATGTGCGGAAGAGCCCTGCTTCTGCCCACTTATCATCAGTTCTACCCTCTCTTCTCAGAAACTGCACCACTCACATGGGACATCAACAAACACACCTACAATGAAAGACCCTGCGTGTTCCATACCTGGAAGCAGGGTCTGGTGCCATGGCTGGTTCCAAAGAATCTATCTGCCAGTCGGGCCTGGTGACCCCAGATCAGCAGCCCCATGGCCCAGGACACGTACAAATGACACCATGGCAAAATGGGACTTCAGAAAACCCAAATATGGACTGCAGTTAGGTAAGGATTTCATTGTAAATCCACTCCAGGTTTACTCTGGTTTCCCCTTCCACGGCAATGAAATAATTACTGTCTGAATTCAATGAAAAGGGTCCTCCTGAGCCATTTTCTTTCTGAAGGGGAAAAAAAAGATCAGCAGGGATGCTACAAAGGAGGACTAGGGCAGGCAGAGCAGCGGCCTCTGTTCTCACTCTGCTGCTTGCTGGCACGACCTTTCCACAGCTGGTCTAAAAAGGTGACCGGTGGCTATTCCAGGGGGCACCGAATAGGCTCACCAAGGCGCATAAGAAACTTCAGCAGAAATATGGCCTCTCCCCAAGCAGGCCAAGGCTCGGGCCCAGAGCCCTCCCCCTCGGCTGAGCCTGGTCCTGGGTGCCTTCGGTGAGAGTCTGGCGGCCTCTACCGGAGCGCCTCTGCAGAGGGACGATCCTCAAACCTAGAGACGACATGTGGCGCTCAGGAGAGGTGAGAGGGAGCGCGCGAGTGCGCCGGGGGCGCAGGGGACTCTGCAGCCGGGCAGCGCGCGGCCTCGGGCGCGGTGCGGCGCGGAGCGGAGCCGCAGGGCGGCGGCGGCGGGAGCGCGGGGCGTCCGGTCCCCTCCGCCCGCCCGGGAGCAGTGGGGAAGTTCGCGCTGGCAGCATGGGGCGGTGACGCCGCACCGGCCTCCCGCGCCTGCCAGCCGGGGAGAGCAGGCGGCAGGAGAAGGAGGATGCACCCTCGCCGACGGCTCGCCTCCAGGGGCCGGGGCGCAGGGTAAGCCCGGGGCGCGCCGGGCTGGGGCAGTGGGGGGAAGATGATGAGGCCGGGCGAGGGTACGAGGACAGGCGACCATGGCTTGGTCCGTACCCCTGTCCTCGGGGCTCCGAGCTTTGGGTTGCATGGCCCAGGAGCAGAAGTGGAGAGCGAGCGGGGCGCCCCCGGCAGCCCGGGGCACAAACTTTCCCCCGGCGACTGCGGGGGTGAAGCCGCACGCGTGAGGGCAGGGGCGACCTGGGCGGGGACCTGGGCGGCGCAGCCCTGCCAGACGGTCACCCAGGCGCAGTGCTTATGGGTCTCCCGGTAGGAACTGGGGTGGGGTGGGGAGGAGAGTGGGAGACACTCGCCGCCGCGGTCGTTGTAGCCGGAGGGGCGAAATCGCCCACCTGAAAGGCCCCTGCCAGCTTCGGGGATCTGAGGCGCGCGACGTCCTGGCGTTACTTGCGGGGTGGGTGCGGGCCCCGCAGGGGTGTCGCGCGCCTGTCGCGCGGGCTGCTCGAGGCCAGGGGACTCGGAGCTGCCACTGCACCGCGCGCTCCCTGCCCAGGAGGAAGGCGCTGCCCGGCGGCAGGGCGCACTGCTCGGACCCGGGGCAGGAGCGAGGGAGGTCTGGAGGGCCGGGAGCGAGCCGGGGAGGGACAGGCAATGGGAGGCGCTCGGCGAGCCTGTGGACCCGCCGGGTGGCCGACCCTGCCGGGTGGCGGGTGCCGGGGCGGCGGAGGCTGCGGCTCCGCAGTGCCACCCCCGCGCCCACCTGCCCGATGCTCTGGCCCTGGAGGAGCCTGTACCGCGATCCGGAGGGCCGTGGGAACGCACCCTGTTCTTGGGGGTTCATGTCTCGGGGCTAGAGGTTGGCAGGACACGCGCCCCGGTTTCCCGCATACAGCGCCGAGTGCTCGCCGCCCAGACTCGCCCCGGGTCCAGCAACCAGCTCCAGGCGCGCATAGGCGACAACCGCATGTCCTTCTTAACAGGAGTCGCAGAGGGCCTTTGCTTCTGGGGTGGAAGTACCTGTTGTGTGCTTCCCAATTCTGGAGTTTTGGGGTTCTCCTCGGGGGGAAAAAATGTACCTTTTCCAACTCTCTGTTGTTGGCGTAAGATAAGCACCTATTTGCGTTATGCGCACGTTGAGAAAGAAATATGGGTTTTCTTTGAGACTAGTTGCTAAGCCCATGGACAGTGCCTGCCTGGATTTGAAACGCATTAATCAGGGCCCAGCTCAGGACTGAGACACTTCCCCCATGCAGTGCGTAGTAAGTCATTTAGTCATGGAGCAGGATGTCCAGAAAGTACCAAGACTCTTTTATACAACTGCCTAGTTGTATTTTCGTGATCCTGTAGAAGACTTGTTTCTTAAATGTGCCTTTTCCCTCCTCTTTCCATGTACTTTGCCTCAGCAACTTGCAGAACAAGGAGTAGCTTGCTGGCTTTGAACGCGTGGCAAATATTTCAGAAAGGTAAATTGATTCCACTTTGTGGATTTGACAGATACGAAATACAGTTGCTTAGATAACTTAAAGCATTTATATTAATAATTGAACTAATGGGTCATTTACTAGCTTGCTTAAAAAGTAAAACAGTATTTGAGACATGGAAAAAAATCAATTAGGATGATTTTGCATTCTGAGTAAAAGTGAAAATTAAGCCAGACTGTAACTTGTTTTTACACACCACTTTATTGCCCAGGAAAGGTAGTAGGAATCACCTAGTTGTGTCTGCTTGAGGGTGACAGCCAGGTTCCCTGTCTCTGTAAATTGTTGCATGGTAGCAGTATAATTCGATTCAAATTAGTGTCACAAAAATGTCATATTTACACCCTTTTCCTCTTTGTGTACTTTTCAGCTTCAAGACCAAGTTGGAGGACAGAACAGTTATTCTTACAAATTCATCTGCTTCAGTTATTATTCTTATTGGGAATGGACCATGGAATGTTCTCTAGCTTTATCATGATCAAAAACCTCCTTCTCTTTTGTATTTCCTTGAACTTATCCAGTCACTTTGGGTAAGTCACCATCTGTGCTTTTGTCGTGTGATTTTAGGGGCACTAGTGCCTTTCTGAAACCTCATAGAGTTGAATATCAATTCAGCAAGCCCTCCCTTGACCTTTTTGTAGTCCTACACCATTTAGAGTATTGTAAATAAATGAAGGGTCCTTGCCCTGACCCTCACTTCCTTCCTGAGCAAGGCTGCTTCTGGTTTGGGGTCTTCTGCAGTAAGTCAGAGAAAAAAAAAAGCAGATTACATTTTCAGAAATGGAAGCCAACCATGGTTTCAGAGTAAGCTGTGTGTCCTCCTACTCAGGTTAAAATAAGATTCAGAAGTTCATGTCATCCACTGTTGTTAGACAAGGCAGTGTGTAGCATTTGGATTATTCTCATTGGTTTCATTATGCCAGTGAATTTGTCTTTCAAGCCATGTCCCTGGTATTGAAAAGAACGCAAAGCAGCCCTGGCCTGAACCAAGGGCCTGTAAACGCAGGTGCAGAGATCACTAGACTACACTTGACTAAAATCTGAGAGACACCCAAGAGGTTCTGGCATCATCACTTCTATTAACCCTTTTCATTTTGGTCTTTAGCCTTTTCTCCTCATACTAGTAATAACTAATATTCCAGACACTTGTTCTTAGGAGGATATTCCTCCTCTTCTCTGTCTCCCCCACTGCCCCATAATTGTTCTGGCTAATCAAAAGGATTGCAACCTAAAAGCTGATGGGATGTAACTCAGAAACTCAATTTTAGGACCAAAATTGCAAATGCATTCATTTTGTAAAAATGGGCTCCAGAGGCTGCACAGTGTACTCTGTAGAAGGGTAAACCATAAAGGCATGAAAGGCATTCCGGGGTTTCTCAACAGCCTGGAGGGACCCCTTTTATGGGCAAGTAAAGATGTCCTACCTAGTGCTGGGGCATTTTCTGTTTGTCCTCTGGGCATTCTCTGCTATTCTCATCCTTACAGATTTGAGCAGAGGAAGATATATGTATCTTCCTCTGAAAGAGGAGAGAGAGAGAGAGAGAGAGACAGAGCCACGAGATTTTTCTCAGGTTCTGGGACTGTAGCCCAAGTATACCAGTGTACAAGTTTGAGGCCTCAATGGTAACTTTATCAAGCAGAGCTGACCTAAGGATCATGCAGGTCTTCCACTGCTACACCAGACAGCCAGCGTATGCATTTTAACTATGGTAATGGATTTGGATGTATAGTATGCTGCAATCCTTGTAGCTATTCGAAATATTCCCTTGGGAAGGAGCACTGGATGCTATTCTTGTCTTGTGTGTCTTGAGGGGACACCTCCCCTTCTGAGCTCCTTATTGGCTGATGAAGATTTTCCTTTCCAAGTTCTCCAACTGTTAAATCCTATATGAGCTATGATGTTCACAGTGTTCTTCTGAATGGAAGGTGTTTATCTAAGTGAAATCCTACAAAAGAGTCAACGTTGCAAGTGGATACAAGTATTTACCTTGTTTACTGATATTTTACAAACATTTAGTGAAGTGATGAATACACTAAGATTGGAAATATATAGTTCTTTTATAATATTTTAGTCAAGATTTATTATTGTAAATTGACATAGGAAGTTGTTACATTCCACAGTAGATGCAAATCTAAAATAAGGAGTAATGTGTCTGATGAGTTTAGCCACAAGAAGCAGATATACTTGATTTCTTATTTAATTCTATAGCTTTCTGAGGTCATGTAATTGTTAAGTTGGACAGGTAATTGTTAAGTTCTAGAAAAAAAATCCCTGAGCAAATTAGGATACCCCTCAATCTTTCTAGAAGATTAACTGTTGGAAAATATTTTAATTTTTAGCTATCAAGATTTTAGTTTTTTACAGTCTATCATTAAGCAATACCTATGAACTGCAGAAAACATGTGATATACAGGAAAAGGATATTTAGGAAAAGGAAAATGTCCTTTATTCAGCCACCCAGAGAAGATCATTTCCAGCATTTTGTTGGCTTATTTCTCCTTGCTGCTGTGCATATTTTTATACAGTGTCATCACACTGTACATTCAGCTTTTTGACATTTTGTGTACCTAATGCTTTATTTTTACAAATGCTTTAAGCTGTATATGATTTTTTTTAAATGGATAGCTATTTTATAGTTCATGAATTCATTGTCAATAACTACTTCACTAATTTGGGATGTTTACATTGTTGTTGATTTTGCTATTATAAATTTTCCTGAAGAGATCATATTTGACTTGCAACATTTTCAAGTTTTTGAGAGTTTTCTATTGGAAGATATTTCAATATATGGAATTTTATAGCAGGCTGTTTGAATGCTTTTATCTGTTTTTGGCTTTTTGAGGCAAGGTCTTGCTATGTATCCCAGGCTGGCCTGGATCTCACTGTGTAGCCCAGGCTGGTCCAAAACTCACAGTCCTCCTGCTTCAGCCTCCTGAGTGCTTTTAACTCTTGCGTCTGTATGCCAGCTGCTTTTGATAAAGTAAGGATTTTAGTAAAGCAGGAGGCTAAGTAGCATGCCCTCTGTTCAGCATGATGCACTTTTCAGCAGCCACAAAACTTATTTCTACTTATGTGTGGCTCCTGTCAGCTGCACATTACCTAAACGTATGTAAGAATAATTTTGTCGAAACCCAAAGACAGTTTCATAACATTTCCTTGACTTTAAATCTTGACGGAATAATAGCTATCACAGTGCAGAGTGCCTATTTTTATGTGAGTTTTTAGGTGAATACTAGGAGCCACTTAGGAGCCTAGCATCCTTAGCCCCACCTTCCAGCTGGGAAGGGGTGGGGGTGGTGATTAGCTAACTTGGGAGGTCCACACAGCCAATAACTGCTGCAATTCCTGGCTCAGCAGTCTTCTGTGTTGTTCTGCTGCTTATATCTCGCACTCCATTTTTTGACTACAATTGGTTTGCCATAGGTCAAACCAATCTAGAGAGGAGGGGCTATAATTCTGAAAGGTATTCTCTGCTTCTGGGTAGAGTGTTTTCTGTACTCTGAGATTGGGGGGTTAGTTTGAGTAAGATCTAATTCCCCCATCCCCCCAAAGACAAAAATGATATGATCTGAGTTTAAAATAAAGGTGAAAAGGGTGGTAACCAAGTCTCTAATTTCAGCCTGAATCTAGGACCAGAGAAATGCTGGCTACTGTAAATACACAGGAGGCCAGATTGCCTGCGGGGAGGTGGGGGGTAAGGAAAGGAGGGCTATAGAACCAGGAAGGGGAGAAGAAGAACAGAGGCTAGGTCTAAGGTTTTGTGCATGTACAAAGTTGCTATGCAAGGTTGGTGAAAAGTGTGGTACTTGGTACCAGAAAATGCATTTGTGAGAAAGAAAATATATTTGACAATTATATAAGATAGTTAATGTGAAATTGCTTTGAAAATATTATGAGTATTATTTCTTTTCTTTCTCCCTGTCCTATTCTAAATTTGATCAGTCACCAGCAGCTTATTTTCAATAGCCTTTATAATTCTGCTATTAGTTTTAAATTATAGAACAGAGCAAGAGCTAAGTGTACAACAGAACAGAGGCCTAATTTGAAAGCCAGCTTTCTGTCATGGCCCATTTGGAGACACGAAATTATTTAAGCCATTATAATTATTTTTGTGAAACCTGTAACCTAAAGTACACGACATAGAAAAACTAGCACCAAAGCAATATTGGAATCCACAAAATGTCAAAATATGTAATATTAAGCTTAAACTGGAATTAATTTATCATCATTTGAAAAATTGTTTCTCCAACATGATAAAACATTGATAATTGCAAGATACATTTCAGGATTATTAGCTCAATCATAAGGTAAAGTCAGATTTCACTCATTTTAACCATATTAAACATGTTTTAGAGATTTATCTATCAAAAAAAAGAAAATGTGTTAGAATTTTGTTACTTGGGAGCTGCAGTTCTGGTAGACTTTGGTAAACAATATTTTATAAACAGTAATTAAAAGCAAGCTCTTGAAATCACTTACAAATATGAACAGGGAAGGTTATTCTTTATCTGTGCATTTGAGTGTGCCAGCCTGGGCCTATGGTCTCATGGAGAGGACCTTTTCATTCTGGTCCTCAAGGACAGTGCCCGCCTCTTAACTAGAGCAGAAAGTACATTCTTTCTGAATCATGCAGGCATTCACAATGTCTTCTGAAATGGAAAGTTCTCTCTTGTGTATCCCCAGATGACAAATTCTTCCTGCCCTGTAGCAGCAGGTTCAGGAGGTCCAGGACACACGGTCATTATAACAATTATAAAAACACTCAGAAAGTGCCGCTGAAGCAGTTAGCAGGAACAGAAGCTATGGCAGGTCTAAACAGAGTCTTCAGGTACAGCCAGAGATCAGAAAGGTAGTACCTGCAAAAAGCAGGGTATGCAGGTGCCTACAACAGGTCTGCAGAGTCACATCCAACATTTTTTTTAAAGGCATCAAAAGAAAAATACCTCCAAATTATATGCTTTTTAAAGGAAACTTTTAGCCTATTCACAATACCAATAGGCAATGAACAGACCTCAGAAGGATGGTAGTGAAGCGCGGCTCTCTGCCGACTCTGGCTGGCAGTCAGCTCCAGGATGACTCACTGATTCAGCTCACAGGGAGAAGGAGAATATGGATTTTCAGACTTTTACAGATTCAGTGGTCATAAGATGCATATTTTAATTGGTGTGGAATTTCAGAGAAAACTATTAGAATTATAAACAAAAAGAAATCTTATCTTACAGCTCTCATAGCAACAAGAATTATCACTGTGTATATGAGTGATCTTTAGAATTTTTTTTTAAATGTGCTATTAAATTTTTATAAAAATCTCATTTTAAAAGTCAGAGAAGTGTGTCCAGTTTTTGCCACTAGAAAGTGATAGAATCAGGGCTAGCATTCCCACTGCAAACACTTCCCCAGAATGTCCTAATATTTAAGGTGTCACAAAAAGGGAAAAGAATCTGGGGGTGGGGGGTGGGGGGATCTATACATTAGAAACAAGATCTTAATCTAGAACTCAAGTAGAACCACTTGAGTGGATCTATCATA